AGGAATAGCACACTCGTGCCCAAAACAACCACACTTCATACAGACCTTAGGCAAATTACAGTACTCCACATCGACAAAAATCTCAGCCAATCCATCTGGAGTAATACTAAGCTTCAAAATCCGAGAAGCTGATGCCTTAATCTCAATACATATGTGAGCAATCCTACCTTCCTGCCATTTCGAGTTGAATTATCCATGCAAAGTGGCTTACCCAAGGAGCTCACAACCCTACCTAGCCCAGTCTGAGTAGTGAGCTCAGATGGGAGGTTGGATAAACGAACCCATATAGGCAGCACTGTGTTATCAATAGCGAGTGGACTGATTCCTGGTTCCCAACGACGCAAAAAAAAAAAAAAAAAAAAAGATTCTCGCGATGGTGCCAAGGCCCATTCTCAAACACCTATTGACAAATCTATCTCAGCATTCGGAAATTGAAACATGATAAAGCTTCTTACCCATCCACGAGACCCGAATTTCACCATCCTTCCCCTAGATCCAGTTCGCCCAATAATGAATCAAGAGATCGAGGCTGGACTCCCAATGAATTGGCCTACCAGACTGTGTTGCCATCTCTTCGCACCTTCCTCAATCACCTCCCGAGGGATCCTCAACGAGCCATTCACATACTCTGGCTCAAAGTACTCCAAGCGATTGTCCTCCGGTATCCCAAACAGTGATTGTACTCCGGATCCTCAACGAGCCATTCACCAAAACGCTTTCTTTTCCACATAAAAACGTTAGTGTACAAAACCGGACTAAATTGTGTTTTAAAGCTTAAAAGCTTACGCTTTTACGCTTTTGTTCACCAAAACGCTTTACGCTATTAGTTCACTAAATGGGTATTCTTTTCATGACATTAATTATAAAAAGTATATTTTAATGGTAAATCACCAACAATATGATACATTTGAGATTAAAAGATACATATTAGGTACTTGAATGCATTCTCAGCTTCAATAGAATAATCTCATTCACCAGCTAAGCTCTTCCCAAATTCATTAGCATAGAGGGGAAGGTGGCTTATGTTTAAGATTTATGTTTGTGAACTTATTATTAAGAGTCTACAAGTTGCTCTACTTTAGGCATGAATTTCAGGTACTTATTAACTTTTCTATATTCTGTGCACTCATATTTTACATAGTATATATTGTACTTAACATATTTTAAGTTATTTTACAGTATGCGTCAAAAATATACGCTTTTACGCTTTAATTCTGCGCTTTACGATTTTATCCCTTTTTCACTTCTGGATAGAATCACGCTTTTGACCGCATTGTTTATAAGCACATCTTCTTCCATTCCGCACCTTCCTCTAATCCTCTTGCAATCCCATCGACAGAGAGGTAAGACACGAACCTGCAAAGAAAGCACCATGAAACAAGTCGAACACTTAGCCAAATTCGACCATTCTTCCTGCCAACATGATTTGATCCTGTGACAAACGATTCACTCCTGTATTTGAGTTTAATTAGGCTCGTATCATTAATTTAAATTTCCCAGATAAAATTGATTCAGAATCGTTTAGGTATATATCTACTATTATGGTTTATTTTGTCATTTCTAAAACCTATAAAAGCTAGTATAATTTATGTCTTTTCCAAAGATTGAAGTCATTGAAATGATTTATTACTAATCATACGACAAAAGGATAAGGGATCATGAGAAATTTTACAATGCTATATAGTATTGGTGCTATAGGATTTTTCCTTTATAGTACAACTTAAAATTGTACATTTATGTTATGGTACAACTTCAGATTGTACCTATACTTTTTGTACAAATTCTTTTATGGTACAACTTGAACTTGTACCTTTATGTGATGGTACAATTTCAAGTTGTAAAGTTGTACCATAACATAATAGTACAAATTGCTTTATGGTACAACTTAAACTTATACATTTAATGTTATGGTACAACTTTAAGTTGTACATTAAAGCACCAATACTATATAGCATAGTAGAAGTGCTCAAGGGATGATAAACAGCTTCTTTCTTGCAATCATCTTTCTAATCAGCTTTAGGCATTAACGAACAGAACTCGTGCTGTTGTTGATGATTATTAGGCATATACATGCACTGGAGCATGGTGAATATATCTGAATGTGCTATTCTGGTGCGTCTCATGAGTATTCTGGGGGCGTTCAATGTATCCATTATATGTGATTTAGGGAATGAACATGTCTAGGATAGGATGTGACTGCTCTTTTTTATGATACTCTGTTGGATTTAGATCAAATTTGGACTGAGGGTTTCTGTGGTTAATTTGTGCTCTGGAACCTGATCCTTATAAAAAATATAAACATCTCATGGTTTTAATTATGTGCTTGTTTTTACTATAAAATTACGGGGTATTTTTTTATAACCAAAGAACATCCCCAATCCGGGTTCGGATTCGGTGAATGCTTGATTTGGTTCAAAAAATTTCCTAATTAATCTGGTTGGGTTCGTACGATTAACTATGTTGGTGGATTTGTTTTTGTCCCTATTCAAGACAAAATCACTATTATCTAAAAACAATTACATAAAATTGATAAAAAGGGACCGTTCGAGAAAACTCGGAGTTTTTTTTCTTTCTAACAACGGTTGTAGTAAGGTAAAAGAAATTAAACAGACATCCTCCATTAATATATGGTAGAGTTTTGTATACTTTTCTCCATTTCAAATTTCCTGCAACGAGAGTGAAACTAGGAAGGGCATTTTTGTTTTTACACATTAATTATTTATTTCATATAAAATAGCAATATCAAGATTTGAACCCTGGTCTCTTCAAACAAAGACAACAATAATAATCAGTTACACTAAACAAATTTATTGCATTCTTTTTTATACAAAACATAGACGAAGTTAAACTCTGAAAATCAGAGGACTTTTCCATCATGATTAGCAAGCCCACTAAGTCTATCGTATGTATTTTTATCGAGCTTGATACTTCTATTTTCATAGTAGAGTTTCATGTAATTTTATCAATTTTAAATTCCTGCTCTCTCCTTAATTTTTGCTAAAGGTAAATTGGTAATTGGCTAACATAGAAACTAATTATGTTACTACTTGTTGTATCCTTTCATTTTTCAATTTAAATTTAAATTTTGTGTTTTTTTATATTTGTTCTTTTCTCTTTCTAACTTCCTCCGAAATTTCATCCATCGTGCAATAGTTTGCACCCCTTTCACTTCGCAGTACAAGACTGTCATTGAAAATCAATCTTCAGGTATCTCTTGGCACTACGGTTTTATTGTTGGGGATTTAAGCTGGGCGAGTAGAAGATTTCAACTCAGATATCAATCCATCGCGAACAGAATGGAGTTTACCAATAACCGGAGTTGCAGAAGGAGGATTAGAAGTTGAATTTTTGGTTGAACCATATGCTTCTTGGGATAGAAATTTGGTTGTACAACGGAGAGTGGTGGCTATTGGATCTTTAGGTTTATGGTTTTTGCAACTGTCACAACCTATTTCTATCTTAAAACGAGGAATCATTGATTGATTATTTGAAGTAGGTCGCTTCTTTATTCAACCTACTGGAACTTATAGATAAGGAGTGTCTAATTTTGCACCTTATTACTTTGATCGAGTATATTCGTATATTGGAGGTAACCTTGATTTTTTCGTTTGCTCTCAAGTTGTGATGGTCCCCTCTTAGCTGAGTTCTTAGTATATAGATGACTTGAATCAACAACTGTCAATTTCTTTTTGATTAGTGACATATTGTTTCTAAAAGGAGAACATTAAACCCTTTATATAGGATTGTGAGATTTAAGATTTAATTTCAAACTATATATGGGTCGTGTGAGAATTTCAGTGAGCTTTTATACTCTATCTTTCTTGACCATCAACTAACCAATAATAGCATTTTAACGGAGACTTAATTAGCATTATGAAAATGGGATCAATGATACATTTTTATATTTTATATTATTAAATGATTGTGTTTCTCTAAATATTCGACCTATATATTATTTATTTATCGTCTCGATCGAATGATTATCAATAAAATTAAACGGGTTAATAGATTTAAAAATAACATAAAAATATAAATAATCAAATATGCACACTAAAGAGCCGGATTATAAGCTAGTGCTTAGTTTGATCAAAACATTGATAAGAAGAGGATTTATCTTTCTACAAGATGAAAAACTCCTATGATATCTAGGCACAACAAATTGGGATAATACACTGTGCAATTAGGTACTAAACAGTTCCGCCTCCTTTAAAAAACACCATCCACAGCATGCAACGAATCATCTAATTTAGACAAACCATTGTCTTTTTTTCTTTTTTTCTTTTTCTCTTTCTTAAGTTGAAGCTAGTTTTCAACCGAGCACTTCTACTATGCTATATAGTATTGGTGCTTTAATTTATAACTTGAAGTTGTACCATAACAATAAATGTATAAGTTAAGGTTGTACCATAAAGGAATTTGTACCATTATGTTATGGTACAATTTTACAACTTGAAGTTGTACCATCACATAAAGGTACAAGTTCAAGTTATACCATAAAAAAATTTGTACAAAAAGTATAGGTACAATCTGAAGTTGTACCATAACGCTAAAAGTACAATTTCAAGTTGTACCATAAAGGCAAAAACCTATAGCACCAATGCTACATAGCATTGTAAAATTCCTCGTTTTCAACCATTGTTTTACGCAAATAACATTGGATTCTATACAATAGTGGCGAATTTCAAGTCAGTTGGGCTTGTAAGCATTTAGTCTAACCTAGCCCTTCCCCTATTTCTTCCTCCCCCATTTATCTCCTTTGTTACCATATCTACTCCCCTCCTCCTAAGATCCAAGTAAGTGTTTGCATAATAATCATATATATAATAATAATTTTGCTAGTCCCTGGAAAAGCTGTGTTGGCATATAAGTCACTATAAGAAATTTTATCATATAAAATGATTGAATCATGATTTCAACAAAGGTATAAACTTCGATATAATTTTACAATTCTTGCTCATAAGATTTTTGGGTGGATATTGCCAATCGGGTTAGTTTGTAGCTTAGATATGAGACGTTTCTTTGCCCCCAATTGCACATAGCCGTGACATCAACCGCCGATGCAACGTTGGTACACTGGAGTATCCACAACTTTCCTAGCCTCTTGCTTGATGCTTGCGGCCGCAGCAGCTGGTTTGGGGGTCGCCGGAGCCGCAGTAGCCGCCGCCGCCTTGTCAGCCTCTTGCTTCACCACAGTTTCCACTTTGGGAGTGGCCATTGGCCTTGCGCAGAAACCAGTCCTTTGCATCATTTCGAGAACTTAACTGTAGAACTCGCTAGTATCTTTTGCTCTCTCTCTCTCTCTCTCTGTGGCTGCCCTGATGTATGAACTATATATATGTTGTTTTGGTGCTTGATAGATTGAGAAATTGGAAAGGATTGAGTAGTATTTATATAGAGATGAGAGGACGAGTAGGGTCTGCAATTTCATTTGCATGGAATTACATTCATGTACACTGCTTAATATCATTGGGGAAGCCGATGAGTTTCTTGTTTAACAGATCCAGGGCTAAATCCATTGTGCCACATTTTCCGAAATTCAACTCGTTTAATTTTTTTTTTATATTATAAAATACAAGATCTCAATCGAATGCACATATTTGGATTTCAAGAAATCGACCGAATTTTATATTAAAATATATAATTTCATTCATGTGAAAATAACACAGTCTGGATCTAACTGATGGATAATGGATTAAGAAATTTGAGGGACCCACAATTTTTCTTGGTCTCAAACACATTATGGGCCGACCATTAGATGTGCAGTCTGATTGCTAGCCCATGCTAAAAAAAGCCCAATCAATGGGACCGAGGTCCTTAGCATAATCCATGATCTCCCTACAAACCACTTTCATTTTCGTCATCCATCCCTATTCTATCCATGGTCCATTAAACCGTACCGTACCGGCGGTTCAACCACAAAATACTAGTACCGGAGGCTAAACCGATAGGCGGTATTTAACGGTACTAACGGTTGAAATACGGTTAAACCACGGTTTTACCATAAAATACCCTACCGCTTACTTTTTCGGTACGGTCTCCGGTACAGTTTCATGGACCATGATTCTATCTCGATTTGGAATGGCTACCAGAACAATCAAACTCTTATCTCCCTACGGGTAGATAATGATAACACGAACCCACCTCCATTCTGCAATGGTTTGTATGTTGTTTACGCCATACAATTTGTCTTGTATCATATTGGTGAGTTACAAGATGATCAAGAAATTTATAAGGCCACATTAATTATAACAATTAATGTTGTTTAAATTGGGCCTTATAGATATTTATTTTAAATTCAAGCCATTAAGTCATTAATGAGCATGAACACGACTCAACGAGGGACATGGGCCATGAGATTGCACAAAAATATTCTATGTCTGGAGAGGGACGTGTCACTTCAACGAGGAGGGTCGTGCCTGCCTAGAATCTAGAGGCACATGTCATCTCAAGGAAGACATCATGGGCGTGATCATGGCCCCCTCTGGTGTACAAAATATTCTAAGTCCGGAGAGGCTGTTGTGGAAATTGTTCACGCATACTGTTTTCTTGCAACACAAGCAAACACATAAGATTAAGAAAACATGCAAAGACACATGCAAGCGTCCTAGCCGATAGAATTCACTATCTCTCCTTAAAGAATCTTATTCCCCTCTAGTACCTAAGGTTATGGAATGTTTCCTCCCATGATAGAAAGGACGTACCTTTTTCGGCGTAGCGGTACCTCAAATCCTGGAACCCATCGAACGTAGCGAACCGGCGAGAACCACACTTGACTCTATTTTATCTTTGAAAAGAATGCAGAAAACTAGTTTTGGATTTTGGCGGAATTTTGGAACCGAAAAAACGTATATTTCTCATCATCAAAACTAGAGGGGGGTATGGTGCTATTTATAGAAAATGAAGAGGCGCGTATGAAGGGAGGAAACTCTTCATATGGGTGGTTACACCCCAATCATTACATTGGTTCGTTTAAAATATTTCAACCATTGCATTGGTTCGGCCTCATGAAAGTTGGACCGGTTTGGTTATTCCAACCGCCATATCAGTTCGGTTCGATTGGGTTCAACTCGGTTTGGTTCATTTGGTTACACAAACCAATTTAACCAATTAACCACATATTACAGCAAATCGATCTAATTCGAGTCCATGCCTTCCCACATCTTACCAACATGGTACTTCAAGAGATTCTCTTGGATCGTCCCCCTTTCATTTCCCTTCACACCATTAAAAATCCCAACAATCCCCCACATGAATGGAGAATGTTGTACTTTAAAAACTATGCAAAAAATCATATGATTCTCGACTAAGAATTAGTTGCATCGGGATAGGTAGGTTTCCCTTTGAGCCTTCCTTGGTGAACATATATCGAGTATACTCACCAATCGGTAGATGTGATATCATTGAACCGTCGGTTTTCTTGTATACTAAGACAACATATGTCACACAACTAACTCTTATCTGTTCACTGGTTCTCACTGTTGTGTTCGTTTTAGCCCTGAACACCGCTTGGTCTCATGAGTGCTTAGAGAACTGGCCTTCTTTTATTCTCCTTGAAGCGGCTCCACTTCACATTCACATAGGTGATTTCTAAACGTGTATTCTGAAAATACACTATTTGATCACATCCCGTGTCAAACTTAGAAATCATTAAAAACCTTCCATCATTAGGTTTACCCTTTATAGTTGGACATTGTCTCATCACGAGAATGAACTTTGAATAATTTGACAATGTCGGACCATCATTCACAACTTTGTTTTCTCCTTGAACCTAAAGATTGGGTCTGCCAATCCTGCTTAGGTAGAGTTACCGACATGATGATTTGTCCTAGGCCACGAGTTCATTCCCTTCGATGCTTAAATTAATTTCTAGATGGGCGCCATATTTGTTATCGCTTGATCTAAATTGATCATCTCCGATAACTTCGCTAGAAATTAACCAATCAATAATGTTATGTTTCTACGACGAGATTTTTCACATAACACTTCTAGCCCTTGCAATAACAAATTTGTGCACAAGTGCGTTTTATTAACGCCAATCAAAATTTTCGACTGAAAGTTTGTGTAAAATTTTGTTTTAGTTATGATAGTATTTGAATTTCGAGACTATTTAACAACTTTTTGGTGCATTATATTTCCGCCAGCCATCTAGAATTATTATTATTATTATTATTATTATTATTATTATTATTATTATTATTATTCTTTCGTATTAATTATCGTTAGGAATATTCCGTTATTAGTTGGTTATTCGTATTATTATATTATGTCTTGTCTATGAAGTAATCGTTTACTAGTTGGTTTGGGATTGGGTTTCCTTGTCTTAAGGGAAAGGGGTTTGTTGTTTAAATATGTACCTTTGCTCTTCGTTCTATTCATTCGATCAATAAAGTCTAGTATTAGTAGCAAATTAGCTCATCTTTATCGCATTCCTTAGTTCTTAATAGAGAATCTCGAGTTCTACGACGCTTGAGACTGTATCATGCGCCACTTTTAAGATATTTTTATGTATTGTTGAATACCCTTAATATATTTTATGGGTACTTATTATTCGTATTCTAGCAAGCATCTATTTGCCTTGCCCTAATCTCAAATTCCTCAGAGTTTTTTCTGGTTGCATATTATTATGGAATGAATTGATTGGCGAACCATGTATAAAGGAGTTTGGTGCAATGGGGGAGTCAATCTGCTCACCTAATAATAGTTTGGGGTTTGAGAGATGAGGATGGAAAGTAAGAAGTTTGGTCCTTGTTGCTGTCTACATTATTAGACATTTGAGAGCTTTCGTGTTATGGTACTTAGTTTTACTTGAATATAAGTAATCCTATATAGTTTATAGCTATCAAGAAAAGAAAACATAGCATCACAACAAGGACGCCTGGATTAGATTAGTTCAGTTGTCTAGTGGTTTTTCATATTGGAAATATAGCAAAACTCGATTTGAACTTAGACATTTTAAACCATATTATTCAAGATTCATAGTCTTCGGAAATGCAACACAAAACCAAACATCCCAAAATAAAAACAACTAAAAGCGAACACTCTCTGCTCCCCCCATCTTATTCTAGTATTATTTAATTAACCCCATGACTTGACTCCCCACGTCCTTGATTTTTTGCCTTGACAAACATCAACCGCCGATGCAACGTTGGTACACCGGAGCAGCTGCTACCACTTTCCTAGCCTCCTGCTTGATGTTGTTCATACCAGAGGTTGTGGTCGGCGCCGGACCAACTGCAGCAGCAGCAGACATGGCAGCAGCTTCTTTCTTGGGCTGTTGTTCCTGCTGCAGCTTCACCACAGTTTCCACCTTGGGAGTAGCCATAGCCGGCCTTGAACCACCACTCCTTTGCATCTTTTCGAAACCTCTTATAGATAGACTATCTCTTCTCTCTGTTTTGCCCTCTGATGATATTGTTATTTGTAGTTTCGGTGCTTGATTAAGAAATTGCATGGGTTGAGTGTTATTTATATAGATCATGGGAAGACAAGGGTAATTATAATTGCAAGGAAACGTTCATGTACACTACTTAATATCATTGGGGAAGCCAATGAGTTTCTCTTGTTGAACACAATATCTCAGTCGAATGCAGCACACAGTTTTGGATTTCAAGGAATCGATTCATTGATGCATGCATCTGAGTAGGAAATTGTAGGCATTTTCAACCCGACAATTGCAGCAAATGGCAAATCAGTTGGGCTTGTAAGCGTTTTGGTCGAACCTGGCCCTTCTCCTTTCCCTCACCCAGGCCCGGCCCACCAACGATTATGGCCCGTGGAAATAATAAAAGTATCCAAAAGAGAAACTCTCCTTTTGGGCCGGGTTTAGATTGATTAAATTCAATCTGTCACCGCACCACCATTAGCAGATTGGGTTCCATTTCCCATATCTAAACAACTAGTTAATCTACACATAATGTAATACACCGAAGGGAAAAACGGGAGCCTCATTTCAAATTTCCTGCAACGAGAGTGAAAATAGGAAGGACATTTTGGTCTTCACAATTACTTTTTTTTATTCATTAAAAAGGCACATACTGGGATTCGAACCATGACCATTTTAAAGAAAAGCAATGATCATAACCAATCACACTAAATACATTTGTTGTATCTTTTTAAATTAAAAACATACAATAGCATGGAGGAAAAAACTCTTCCCCCATTCCAAATTCCATGCTCCATGAGCGTTTGTAGGAAGGGTAGAATAGGGAGTGTCACTTTTTTCTCTTTCCTCTGTGGAACGGGCCAACTTACCGTACACATGCGCATTTAAATGTGTCCTGGAGTGTCAATTTTTTTCTTTAAGCCCTTTTATTTCTCCGTGGTGATAAAGTATATATGAAAAGACAAAAACAATACTCCTTTTTATTGCTAAAAAAAATTTAACAATAAACTAATGCATGGTATCTGATGGGCTAACCGCTAACCATAAAATAAAAGAGTTGAATGGGTCTGACCTACACGGGATTTGGCCATCAAGTAAAACAAATGAACATCATTGGTTTGTCATTCTAAAACTAGCTATTTTCTCTGGTATAATATATATCATGCTATTATTTTATATCTTAGTGGCTAAAATATAATATATTTTAAAGTTATTCAATGGTTCAACATCGACCAACCCAATCATTTCAAATATATATTATATAATTATTTGATATCATAATGACAAAATAATAGTGTATTTTATAGGGAATCGTTTGGTATTTGTAAGTAAAAAACTAAACAGAAAGATCTATTTGGTTATTTTAAACATTAAAACGATCCTAAACATTTTCAGTTCGTTTTGAATTTCTATGGTTTTATTCTCGAATAAGTGTTGTGCAAATGGCGAATTGGAGTCATCTCTTTTCTTTCACTATTTTTTAATTTCAAATAGAAATTTTAAAAGTAAAGAATAATTAGAATTTGGCATGGGTCGGTCAAACAGGCTGAATTTCAAGTTTTGGCCCGTTTTGATCAAGTCTAATTTATAATCACATGGTTCCCTGATACCAGATAAAAATCTCAATCCAAACCAGTTTGGCAGGTGAGTCCGTGTTTACCACAATTTTCTAGGGATACAACAACTGCGGTTCCTATCCCAAATCGTGTTGTTCGTTCTTGATTTTCTTAGATTTTATCATGGCCTGCCAAAAACTGGAAAGCACAATGACGACAAGATGAAAGTTTTATAAAGCAGAGTAATCGGCCAACGGGCCGAGTAAAAGCTAGCAACGATTGTGAGATGCTCATTTCCCAAAAACCGACGGGATAGGCGATTTTTTATTCGATTTTCTGGAATTTGGTTTCTATAAAACTTACTCCACCTCATCATATTACCAGAAACAATATTGTTTCACAAGGTAACAGGTACTTGATTTTGGTTCATAAGGCCGATTTTTTATTCATTGCATCATTCATGTCTCTTTCCTACTAAAATTCACTATTTTTATCCGGTGTTTCACAAAAAAAAATAGTGTATTTTATAGGGAATCGTTTGGTATTTGTAAGTAAAAAACTAAACAGAAAGATCTATTTGGTCATTTTAAACATTAAAACGATCCTAAATATTTTCAGTTCCTTTTGAATTTCTATGGTTTTGTTCCCGAATAAGTTATGTGCAATTGGCGAATTGCAGTCATCTCTTTTCTTTCACTATTTTTTATTTTCAAATAGAAAGTTTAAAAGTAAAGACTAATTAGAATTTGGCATGGGTCGGTCAAACATGCTGAATTTCAAGTTTTGACCCGTTTTGATCAAGTCTAATTTATAATCACATGGTTCCTTGATACCCGATAAAAATCTCAATCCAAACCAGTTTGGCAAGTGAGACTGTGTTTACCACCATTTTCTAGGGATACAACAACTGCGGTTCCTATCCCAAATCGTGTTGTTCGTTCTTGATTTTCTTAGATTTTATCATGGCTTGAAAAAAACTGGAAAGCACAATGACGACAAGATGAAAGTTTTATAAAGCAAATTAATCGGCCAACGGGTCGAGTAAAAGCTAGCAACGATTGTGAGATGCTCATTTCCCGAAAACCGACGAGATATGCGATTTTTTATTCGATTTTCTGGAATTTGGTTTCTATAAAATTTACTCCACCTCATCATATTACCATAAACAATATTGTTTCACAAGGTAACAGGTACTTGATTTTGGTTCATAAGGCCGATTTTTGATTCGTTGCATCATTCATGTCTCTTTCCTGCTAAAATTCACTATTTTTATCACGTGTTTCCCAAAAAATTATATTGTGTTTTATAGGGAATCGTTTGGTATTTGTAAGTAAAAAACTAAATAGAAAGATCTATTTGGTTATTTTAAACATTAAAACGATCCTAAACATTTTCAGTTCCTTTTGAATTTCTATGGTTTTATTCCCAAATAATTGATGTGCAAATGGCGAATTGCAGTCATCTCTTTTCTTTCAATATTTTTTATTTTCAAATAGAAAGTTTAAAATTAATGACTAATTAGAATTTGGCATGGGTCGGTCAAACATACTGAATTTCAAGTTTTGGCCTGTTTTGATCAAGTCTAATTTATAATCACATGGTTCCCTGATACCCGATAAAAATCTCAATCCAAACCAGTTTGGCAGGTGAGTATGCGTTTACCACCATTTTCTAGGGATACAACAACTGCGGTTCTTATCCCAAATCGTGTTGTTCGTTCTTGATTTTTTTAGATTTTATCATGGTCTGACAAAAACTGGAAAGCACAATGACGACAAGATGAATGTTTTATAAAGCAAATTAATCGGCCAACGGGCCGAGTAAAAGCTAGCAACGATTGTGAGATGCTCATTTCCCGAAAACTGACGAGATAGGCGATTATTTATTCGATTTTCTGGAATTTAGTTTCTATAAAACTTACTCCACCTCATCATATTACCAGAAACAATATTGTTTCACAAGGTAACAGGTACTGATTTTGGTTCATAAGGCCGATTTTTTATTCGTTGCATCATTCATGTTTTTTTCCTGCTAAAATTCACTATTTTTATCACGTGTTTCCCGAAAAAAACTATACAACAATAAGCTATACACCCTATTACATTATCAAATTTCATACCTCACCTTCCTCTGGCCAACTGGCCGGCCCACGCTAGTTAGTTAATTAAACCCCTACTTAGGGTTCTAGAGTTTAATCGTCATTTAGGATCCGATTTCCCCTTTGTCGGATCATGAAACCAGACTAACGGCACAGGTCGCGTCGCAGCTCCCACCAAAAAAACATAAAGAAGACGACATAAATACACACACAAGCATAAGTACGGCCAATTTCCCCCAACCCACTCTCCCCTCCTCCTCCTCCTCTGCCACTGGACCATCCCCTTCTTTCCTAAACCCAGCTAGCAATGGTGTCGCTGTCCCCCTTCTCTTCCCTCCTCCTCCTCCTCTTCCTCCACTCAATCTACCCACCCACCACCACCGTCGCCGCCGTCCGGCCGAATCAGGACTACTTCCTCAAGCTCCCATTGCTCCACAAACCCCCATTCTCCACCCCACTCCAAGCCCTCTCCTTCGACGCCCGCCGCCTCTCCCTCCTCCACCACAGCCACCGCCGCCGTCGCCATCCCTCCCTCAGATCGCCGCTCGTCTCCGGCGCCTCCTCCGGCTCCGGCCAGTACTTCGTCTCCCTCCGCCTCGGCTCCCCGCCCCAAACCCTCCTCCTCGTCACCGACACGGGCAGCGACCTTATCTGGGTAAAATGCACCGCCTGCCGCAACTGCTCCCACCACTTCCCCGGATCCGCGTTCCTCGCCCGCCATTCCTCCACTTTCTCCCCTGCCCACTGCTTCAATCGCCTCTGCCGGTTCGTCCCGCACCCGGATCCGACCCGATGCAACCTGACCCGGCTCCACAGCCCCTGCCGGTACGAGTACCAGTACTCCGACGGGTCCCTGACCAGCGGGTTCTTCTCCAGAGAGACCACGACGCTGAACACCAGCAGCGCCTTGGGGGAGACGAAGCTGAAGAATCTCGCGTTCGGGTGCGGGTTCCGGGTCTCGGGTCCGAGCGTGACGGGTCGGAGCTTCAACGGCGCCCAAGGGGTAATGGGGCTGGGGAGAGGCCCGATCTCGTTCTCCTCTCAGCTCGGCCGCCGTTTCGGCTATAACAAATTCTCCTACTGCCTCCGAGACTACACCCTCGCCCCGCCGCCGACCAGCTACCTCATGATCGGCGGCTCTTCTCATTCTCAAGCCCGAAACGTTTCGAGTACGGGTGCGATGTGCTACACGCCGTTAATCGTCAACCCACTGTCCCCAACATTTTACTACATCGGAATCCGGAGCGTATCCGTCGACGGGGTGAAATTACCGATCGACCCTTCCGTGTGGTCGATCGACGAGGAGGGGAACGGCGGGATGGTGGTCGATTCGGGTACCACACTGACTTTCGTACCCGAATCGGCGTACCGGGAGATTTTAAAGGCGTTTCAAAGCCGGGTCA